GTTGTCTCGGATTCTCCAGCATCTGCAGTTCCTACTATCTCTGTAAACAATCGTTAATGAGAATCCACTTGTGCGCAAGTTAGTAAGTAAATGATAATTTTGTTCAAACAAATTACAAGGCATGCTGTTTCCTGACATAACTCACTTATAATTTTCAAGGTCATATTTAACTCCTGTTCGAGATGAAGAATCTGAGTCACAAAGAAAAGCCAGGTCGAGACAAGCTCGGCAGTCAAGAAGGTCAACACAGGTAAGTTTTAGTCTTTCCTTCCTTGGTTCAGAAAAACTTTTTTCTTGAATCGTCCATCTCCCATGTTGATGTTGCTTTTGTATGTGGCTGTAAGACCAGGTCAGAGGCTAGGAATTCTGCAGCAAGTAACTCAACTCTTGACTTCCAAAAGCCTCTAATACAACGCAGAAGCCCTGTGTGTGATCAAACCGTTTGCACTTGCCTAATGGGGTGTAGCTCCAGTGACACTCAAGAAACTTGCTAACTTGCAGGACAAGGCAGTCTGTTTGAATGGAATCCCATCCTCGACCTTGATGTTTATTGCCTGTCCCACTGATGCATTGTGACAGCAGTGTACCATGTGCAAGATTCACTGTTGTCAGGTGATGACCCTGCTGACAGTAGTTTCTCCGCATCTAGTCTTAGAGTTTTGAAACCCTGTATTAATTCTTTAAACTTTCTTGGCTCCAAGATGAATGCTCCCAGTTTCCATAGAAAACGGACAGTTCTTGTTCTGATCAATTTCCTTTGCACTCTCACTAAAGACTTGACATTCTGTCTAAGTGGGGTGGTCAGAGATGAACACAGTACTTCAGCTGAGGCCTCAGCAGTATTTTATAAAAGTAATATTCCTTTGGTTTAGGTACTGTTATGGCATGAGGGATGTATGATGAACCATGATGACTGAATATTGAAAAATACTGTCTTTCAGGGTGTAACACTAACAGACCTACAAGAAGCTGAGAAAACGATTGGGAGAAGTCGTTTAGACCGTCGAACTCGAGAACAGGAAGAAAAAGAAAAGGAGGAAAAGGAAAAGCAAGATAGAGAAAAGCAAGAGGATAAGAATCGAGTGGAAACTCAAGATGACGAGAGACAAAGGTTTAGTAAAAACACCGAAGAGGTATTTGGTCTTAATGAAAAGAAAATTACATGATTTAGTCAGTAAACACTATTTCAAGAATGCAATGCTTTAATTTTCATTAAATACGTCACACTGACTTTGTGTGAATTCTTTTGGTTTTGTTGAAGTGATGTGCTTCACTTGCACACAAGTCTTAGAATGCCGTTGTAGCTTGGTGGTATGCACAGTCTCCTGCACCTTATCCAGTCCTCAAGGTAACATTGTTGTACCAGTCTATCTATTCTAACTGAAAAGGTGATCCCCTCTTTCAAGTTGGTGTTACACTCCACCATTAAATGTGACATAAATGACAGAATCTTCTGTCTCTGTATTGCTGGGAAGATATTTGGAAGAGAGTTGGCAAACTGTCAGCGCCAGGGGAAATGCAGAACAACAATTTGTTGATCAACCTAAATGCTGAGGAATTAGACATAAGGGCCTATGGAAAATTGTGGCAAAATTTAGCTGTCCAGGATCCTCTTCAGGATGGTACAACAATTCTACAATGCCTTTGTATGGCCTAAATGGTAGAGTCTTTTGCTGACTTAGCAGTTAGAAATGGAATGAAGTATGTCTATGATAAGACTTCCCCTCTTGAGCATGACATTTTCTGCTTTGTATTCTGAACCAATCTGTATTAAGTGCAGCAAATTTAAATTTGACTTTAAATTTATTTAAATTTAGTACATTTGACTTCATTGCTCAAACCTTTGAATACAGGACTTGGAACGTGATGTTGAGGTTGAACAGTATATTGGCAAGGCCTCTTCTGGAGTACTCTGTCCAGTTCTGGTCTCCCCGTTGTGGGAAGGATATTATTAAGCAGGAAAGGGTTCCGAAGAGATTTACCAGGATGTTTCCGGGTATGGAGGCTTTGAGTTATAAGGAGAGGCTGGGATTTGTTTCCACTAGAGCATAGGAGGTTGAGAGGGATATCGATGAGGTAAATGACAAGTCTCTTTTCCCTAGAGTGGGTGGTTTCAAGACTAGCAGGGCATTTTTTCAAGATGAGAGGAGAGAGATGTGAAAAAAGACAAGAGGGGCAATTTTTTTTACAGTGGTTCGGGTGTGGAATAAACTATAGAGGAAGTGTTGGATGCAGGTACAGTTGTTATGTTTAAAAGACATTTGAATAAATACATGATTAAGAAATGTTTGGAAGGATATGGGCCCAGCGCAGGAAGGTGGGGCCTGGTTTAGTTTGGGATTATGGTCAGCATAGACTGGTTGGACCAAAAAGTCTGTTACCGTGTTGTAAGACTCTAAATTTTGCACAGATGGAAAGGCCCTCAATTTGAGGAGACTGCAAACAATAAACAAAGGGTATGAAGCAGTGCCTTTGTAACTTTCTTTTCATCGATGGCTCTGTTTTCAATGCTTGTTCAGATTGATAAACGTAGCATATCATGGGTAGCTCATCGTCCATATGTGCTCACTGTCCATATGTGCATTACCAACCTGCATCACACAGACTCTGCAAAACTGACTATTGAAGTCAGTGATCAAAGGCTTGAGGCATTCCAAAATTTAGCTACCTTGGCAGCACCCAAACCAGAGCTGTTAACCATTGGTATCAAAGTCAAGACTGGCACGAATGAACCCAGCATTGCCTTTGGCACGTTTTGAAGATGTTTCTTCAAGCAAAGAAGAATTATTTTCTGAAGAAAAGTGAAGGGATGTTTGTCCTTCCTACTTAGGTGTTTGCTTGAAATATGGATTGTAACAAGGCTGCATGGATGCAAACATGCAACATCACTTAGAATGACTGACTTGCTGAGACTACTTGAGATCGGATAGCAAGGCAAGATTCCTAATAAGGAAGTTCTCTACCCGACTGACACATGCCACGTTGACTGGGTAGACTAAGTGTGAAAGGCATAGAGGGGATGGAATACTTGAATGCATCCAGGTGAGTTTTTTAAGCCACGTGGAAAGTCTTGGAAAGAGGCAGCAGTACTAGATCTAATTTTAGGCAACGAAACCCAGCAAGTGATAGAAATGTCACTAACATTATATTGATAATCCCCACAACTCAATAAGATTTAAGGTAATTATGGAAAAGGACAATAACAAACTGAGAGTAACTTCTGAATTGGTTGATTTTAGTAAAAGACAGGATCTGACTGTGGGCTGGAAGCAGCCACTTTTCATCAAAACGTATATCAGAACGGTAGGATTCATTCAGAAAGAAGAGTGAAAGTGCAGGGCCAACATATTCCCTTGACTGTAAAAGGTGGGACTAACAAGTCCAGGGAACCCGAGATAGCAAAGCTCAAGGGACAAACCAGGTTGGATGAGAGAGAAGAGGGCTGACATGAAGTGCTCAAAACAGCAAAAAATTCTCAACTTGTAGAATGTATACAAGGTTTTCAAAAATAAAAGCAGTGAAAAGGGAGCATGAGAAAACGCAACTGGTTAAAATGAAAGAAAATGCAAAGGCATTTGATAGTGCATTATTGGCAAGAGGAAGACTAGGGAAAAAGTAGGGCTGTGTAACCCCAATTCTCACACAAATTGGGTAAATCAAATTGACCAAGATAGCCACCAGGAAAAATTTGCAGTGTGCATTTTGGGCGGTTTCCTCGAACAATATGTTGTGGAACTGATCAGGCTATTTTGGATCTAATATTGTGTAATTAGGTTGCTTTAATAAATTATTTCAGTGTAAAAGATCCCTTGGAGAGCAATGAATGCAACATGGCAGAATCTAGCATTTAGTTTGCTTTCTACCCAAGGTTCTCATTCTCAATGTGCTAAACTTAAATGTTGTTATAAAGCAATGAGAGCAGAGTTGGCTGGACTGGACTAGGGAAGGTGTTTGTCAGCTAAGATGGTTGAGGAGCAATGTCATACATTTAAGAAAATAGCTTGTGACTCATAGCAAAGAGGTATCCCAGTGAGGAGAACGAATTCTAAATGGGATGAACAAACCATTGTTAACCACCAAAGTTGAGAATAGTATCAGATTTGAAGGCATAAACATGTACAGTGTGGCAGAGATTTTTGATAATTGAGAGAATTGGTAAAGTTTTAAAAGCAAACAAAAGATAATTTTAAGAGGGGAGAAAATAAACAGTAAACCTGCAAGTGATATCTAGACATCCAGCAAGGGTTTCCTTTAACTATAAAAGGGAAGAGAGAGCCAAAGTGAATCTAGGCCGCTTAGACAATGAGACAAGGGAAATAATGGGAAATCAAAAACTAGTGGAAGAGTTGAATAAATACTTTATCAGTCTTCATAGTGGAAGATACTATATCATTACAAAATAAAATAAATAATCAAGGTACTGAAAGGTGGGAAGTATAAGACCGATAGGTTTCCTCATCTTGATAGGTTGCATTCTATGGTTTTTTTTAAAAGTAGCTACAGAAAGTTGAAGCCTCTGTACAGTCAGGTACTGCAGGATTTGGTTTAGGTCCCTTGCTGTTTGTGTTGCACAAAAATAATCTAGACATGAATGTCAGAGCTATGATCAGTGAGTTTGCAGATCTCAGTAGTGAGGAGGAAAGCCTTGAACTATAAGGCATTTATTAGAAGAGCTGGTCAAGTGGACAGAACAGTGATAAATATTGTTTTATTGCCGAAAAGCATGGGGTGATTTTTTTTTTTTTGTTTTGGGAGGACTAACAACAAGGAAATAGAAGGACTTAGAGAACATTGCTGTTCATGTTCATTGATCATTGAAGGCAATAGTTAGATCTTGGTTAAGAAGGCATATGGGGTACTTGGCTTTATTAGCCAAGGCATTGCATACAAGAGCCAGGGATGTTATGATGGACTTGTATTGGGTCACAAGTGCAGTTTTGTTCTGGTCACCACACTATTGTTGATAGGGCATTTGTCCTATAATGTGGATTCCAAATCTGCACACAGTACTCTAGCTGAACAGTAAACATCAGTGTCGCAAGTCCAGAGCTGGCTCTTTGGTAATAATATGTCAAGATCCTGGAGCTCCTTCCAAACAGCACTGTGGTTATCCCTCACACCCAAGGACTGCAGCAGTTTATGAAGCCAGTGTTTGTGTTCTTGAGGGCAGTTAGGGATGAACAATAAATGTTGGCCTACCCAGCAATGACTACATTTGTGAAAAAAATAGAGATTTTCAAAAGAAGTGCCCAACAGGCAATAGATTTTTTTTTTCTGATTAGTCATATTTGAACACATTAAGCTTCAAATGCAATTTGTTGAATTCTTGTTCATGCATGGTATTCTTTAATTTCAAATGACTTGGGTTTTCTAGAAAGTTGTATGCTGAAGACCAGCACTGGAGCTGAGCTTTACACATTGTTTTAAGCATTTCTTTACGAAGACATGCAAGCAAACTCAGTACCCGATGATGATGCTCACCAGTGCACCTTCATTTGGATTGCTGCTGTTCTGTCCGTTGCCAGTGTAATGCCAACATTGGGAACCAGCCATTTGCTTTCACAGTTGGAGAGTATGTCAGCAATAACCTGTCAAGGTTTTTGAGTCTCATTCAACTAATTCGCCGTGAAATTCTTTGAGACCTCGATGCCTTGCTCAGTGTCTTTAGAATCTCCATGCTGCGCTATATGTGGATAAAACACTTAGTGATGAGCTTACACTTCCTTTGGTTTCTTTAAATGGTGCCATGTAAACCATTAGTCCCAAAATTAAGAATGAGTAAAAAGATTAGTGATCTCTATGAATGAAATATCATTTTGTGCATTCCACCCAGTGAAGGTGTACTCTAGCTGGTCAAAGGATTTGTGGGCCCCTATTGTTGTAGGTGGGTTATATCTAGATTTTAGTTGTACATGAAGTCTTTGGCAGCTCAACTGAACTGTTTTACATGGTCATCTTTCCTTCTTGCACCCTACCCACTCTACTGAAGGATGTTGAATGAAAGAGACTGCCTAGTGTCTAGGCTGGTTGTCATCATTGAAATTTTGCCATCCTTTTAAGCTTCAGGCCATTTTAGGGTGTTGGGAATTGCTGATTCATTTTAATTATCATTTAAAATGATTTGATGCAGAAGGTATCAGACTTTATTGGATGTAGGTTTAGGACAACGCATGCAGCTTATCTTTAAAAACAACCTGCAATCACCTACTCTGTGTGAAGCGAACTATTTCTCTGCAAACCGTGCTAGGTAGTTACTGCGCCTGAATGTTGCAGACAGTTTCCCAATGAAAGGGGCTCAGAAGGGTGAATAATTCATCAGTAATTTGCTGAAAACTCGTTACCTTTTTTAAAAAAAATAGCTTTCACTGTATGCATTGTAAATGTTTTTGGTGCAAGTTTCAACATTCTCAGCGTCGTTGTAAAATTTCCCAACTTTCTTTCAAAGCCTTATCAACGCATGAGGTCGAGTACCACGACAACTTCAACTGCCACCATCTCTGCCTTCAATAGTTCATATGTTGCATCCCAACAAAATCGACCGAACAGCCTTATTGGCATCACGTCTGCTTACTCTGTGTACAACCGAGGCTCTGGAGAAGTGGATAAAGGTAAAGTTGCGATGTTTGTGCAAGATCTTTGAGCACGAACTAAGTTCGAGTCTGTGACTCAATACTTGCTCTACTTGTGTGCTTCAAAATCAAATGATTTTGTTTAATTTCTTTTTGAAATGAGTTCACAGGCATCTTTTATGTTACGCCATGCGCATACAGAATCCAGTATATTTGTATACCTTGGCAAACTTTTTTTTTCTCTGATCTGGGGAACAATTTTATAGGGAACATGATCAGATCCAGTACTTTGGCACTCAGTGTACTAAGTGGATAGAATGAATTTTAGTAAAAGCTGGTTGACAGTGGATTATTGACCATTGGACAAAATCATACTCCAGCAGATAATTCAATATCACATTAAAAAAAAATCACTTCCCCTAAAGCATCCACAGACATTAGCTGTTTAACAGCTGGCATTGGACTCGATCGTTGAGGTGATCTGCACTACCCTCTAGGTGCAACAGCAAGTGCGAGATATTTTCTAATCAACCTATTCAGAGATTATTACATACCTCTGGAGTAGATGGGACTTGAACCTGGGCCTCCTGGCTCAGACGTGGGAACACTATAGTTGCGCCACCGGAGCCCCTGACAGCAAGCACTAGCCTCTTCATTGTTACTGTTTTTTTTAAAATTTACAACAGTGAGGCAGTTTAAAAGGGATGAATTGGATGTTCTGTTTTGCAACATCCTGAGGTCGTGAAAAGTGTGGTATGAATGCAAGGCACTGAAGTACATTGACTTCTGTCATTCTATAATATGTGCAGAGTCCTGTGACTCATTAGTTATTTTATATCCAGTATAGACATTGCACGTGCCCACTTTCTGGGGAATATGAGATGATTTGAGGGAGCAGAGCTTCAGAGTACATTTAAACATGCAGTTATGGCAGTGCTGAAGTCTGTCGTTGGACAGTCTAGGACCAGAGGGAATAGTCTCAGAATAAAGGGGTACCAATTTAAAATTGAGGCGAGGAGCAATTTCTTTTGAGGGTTGAGTGTCTTTGGAACTCCTTGCCACAGAGAGCTGTGGTGGCAAAGTATATGTGTATGTTTAAGGCTGAGATAGATGCTTCAGCAGTGCAGTGAACGAAGAACAGTAGGCCAGTTGGCCCACTAAGACTGTGCCTCCGCATGATGCCTTTCTAAACTAAAAATCTTTTGCTTCACTATTTGTATCCCTCTGTTACACTCCTATTCGTGTATCTGTCAAGATGCTTCTTAAACGTTGCTTTTGTATCCCCCTCCTCCTCCACCCCCAGCATTGCATTCCATTTCCTTGCCACTCTGTGCTTTTGGGAAAAAAAAAACTTGCGCCTCACATTTCCTTAGTAATTGACATTTCTACCCTGCAAAAAAGACTCCAGCTAAACATTCTATCCATGCCTTTCATAAATGTTTAAACATCTATCAGGTTGTTCCTCTCCATTGAAAGCATGTGGCAACCAGAACTGAGTAAAATTCCAAATGTGACCTAACTAAAGTTCTGTACAGCTGCAACATGACTTGTCAATTTTTATAGTCTCTGCCATGACCAATGAAGGCAAGCATGTCACATGCCACCTTGTCCACCTTATCCACTTCTGTTGCTACTTTGAGGGAAATGTGGACCTGTACGCTGAGATCCCTCTATGTTGATGATACCTAGGGTTTCTAGCATTACTGTACAATTCGCCTCTTGCATTAGATCTTCCAAAATGTTCCAACTTGCATTTTTCTGGATTAAATTCGATTTGCCATTTCTCCTCCCAAGTCTCCTGTATCCTGTTGTATCTTCTGGCAATCCTCCTCATGACTGCAGGTCCCTCAATCTTTGTGTCATACTAATTCGGCCACCTACATTCTCCGTCAAATCATTGACGTATGTTACAGATGACAGAAGTCCCACTGCTGATCCCTGTGCAAAACCGCTGGTTACAGATCTCCATTCAGGAAAATGCTGCTACTCTCTCTTCTATGATTAAGCAAGTTCAGCAACCTGCTCGCTGCGGAGCTAGTAACTTCACCTTTTGTATTAGCCTACCAAGAGGAACCTTGTGAAATGCCTTGCTAAAGTCCACACAGACAACATCTATTGCCCTGTCCTCATCAATCATCTTTGTCACTTCCTCAAAAAACTCAATCAGGTTTGAAAAGCATGACCTTCTGTGCGTAAAGCCATGTAGCCTATCTCTCATGTCCATATTTTTCCAAACTTGAGTAAATCCCATCCTGTTGAATGATGGGCAAAAACCTAGATATTCTAGTAGAGAATTATGTGGGAACATGTGTAGCTATGCAATATATTGTTCTTGGTTGAAGTGAGTTAATTGTTTTTAAGACAGAGGTAGATAAATTTTTGGAATGCAGGCAGTGAAGGGTTATTTTGATTAGATGGAATGTGGAATTTGAAATGCAAACCCATTGTGGTCTTACTGAATGGCGGAGCAGCCCTGAGGGGCTGAATGCTCTCCTTCCATCTTGTGTCTTTACGTTGGGCTCTTGCGATGTGGCAACCACCTCATCCAAGGAGCAATCTGGTGACTCTTCACTATACTGCCTCCAATACAAGTATATCCTGCTTTAAATATGGAAACCAAAACTGCACAGAATTCTGTGCCTGGACTTACCATAGTCCTGTACTGTTGTAGCTCCTACCACTGCCTCATTCTGCAAGCCAATCTCCTTAAATGAAAGTCCAGCATTCCTGATTGTTTGCATGCAAGTACACAGAGCATTATGAATTCCTCATGAACACCCAAACCTCTCTGAATATCAGACTGGGCATTTATCTCTTTCACTAAGAAGTGGAAATTACCTGCATGTGTAGTAACTCAAAACAGTGTTTGAGGAGAGATAAATATAGTTTGTCAAGGTATGTCTCTTAAGTGACCTTTCTAATTTTCCTTCTTTTTTTTATATCAGTTTCCACTCTAATTAAAGACAAAAACAATCAAACGTTTGTTTGTGGCTGTGAAATGAATTGTGCCAAGTTTCCCCAGTTGAGAGATTGTTCAAATGTGGATGATTTGACAACTCACTTGTGTACCTTTTTCACCAGGCCTTATTCAGTGTTCAAGATGCTCAACTAGCTCGGCATAAACCATATTTTACATTTGAGTCCTTCTGCATCAGTGTGATTCAATTCAGGAGTTTGTGAACCATATTGGTATAAATAAATATTCAAACCTCCATCAAATTAATTTGCAAAAGTAAGCTGGTTTAAGCTGTCTTAATGTAGAGACCTGAAATAGTCATGGCTATAGTGTAAATTTTCTATCGATAGATTAGGTAAACATTCAGTTCTGAAGAAGGTTCGCTGAACACAAAATGTTAACTCTGCTTTCTCTCCACAGATGCTGCCTGACCTGTTGAGTTTTTCCAGAAATTTCTGGTTTTGTTTTTGATTTCCATCAGCTTTCTTTGGTTTTTCGAGGTCTTTGGTTTTTTTGTTAGATGGGCATCTGTTTGTGTATGAAGTAAGATTTAAATATTTCTGTTACATTTAATTTCCAAGCTAAAAGCTGTAGAAGAACAATGTGTGCGATGGATGCGTTGCCTTAGTAAATTTGATGGGAGCATGGCTTCCTTGTTGGTTAAAGGAAGAAACTTTTTTTTTGATTTAACTAGAAATGGACAAAAGGGAGGATGAGAGAGATGGAGAAGAGAAATTAGATGACAAGTCACAAAATAAACCATCAATAAGAGAGCGTCGGCGGCCAAGGGAAAAGCGGAGATCAACAGGTGTTTCTTATTGGACGCAGGATGTAAGTCTAACTTCACCTTTTTTTTTAAAAATAATGCCGTTTTTAGTTCTTTTGGGGTAGTTCTTTCAGCAATCGGTTGTTAATCCTTTTGTCATATACAGTTTATTTAATCTCTACAAAGAACATGTCAGAAACTGTTTGGTTCCAGTGTTTCTTCTGGGGCTGTATCATTGCAAATAATCCACTAATTTGTTGGATAATTTGTGCTTGCTCTGTCCACAGTGTGATCTTATTAATTAATATTCACAAACATCAAACAGCAAAAGTAGGCTTCCGCGTAAATTCTTCAATGGCTGATGGAGGTGGGAAGAGGCTAGTGTCTGTAGAAGTCTGTAGAAACTCTGGAAGTGTGAGCAGTAAGGATGTACACTCCTCGGGCTATGTGAAGTTGTTTTAGGAATGCTCTATATTAAACAGTGGAAGCAACTAACATTCAGCAAGAGGGAGAAAGGGAAGATGGTTCTGCACTAAATCCTGCCTGCCTAGTGTCATTGCTCTGTTTAGTCGAGTCTATAGTTGCTCCTGCCCCATGACTTGAACATTTTGCATCTTGCAACATCCTGCACTGGCCCACAAAGTCTGATTTTTGAAGGAATTACTTTTTAAGTACCGTTTCATTGAAGTTAGCAGTTCTGTGGCCAGGAATTCACTTTCTACCTCTCCAATGTCTGTCACTGACTTGAAAGCACAAGTCAAGGATGTGATGGAATATTCTGCATTGCCTGGATGATTGCAGCTCCAATGTTATTTAAGAAGTTTGATACCATCCAGGACTAAGTAGCCGAATTAATTGGCACCACATCCACTGCATCACTCCCTTCATTCATACATTCCCTTCCTTCATGGCAGCAATGGGTTCCATCATAAGATGCACTGCAGAAAATTATCAAGACTCCTCCAACAGCCTCCTTCCAAACCTATGACTGTTGCCACCTAAAAGTGCAAAGGTAACAGATGCCTGGTAACATTGGCACCTATAAGCTCCCCTCTGAGCCATTCTGGAAACTTCAGAATGGCATGGTGGGCATCTGTACACCCCAGAGACCCCCCAAGGAATAAGGTCACTCATCACCAATGTCTTCAGGTCAATTAGCTATGAGCAATAAATGCTTGTCAACTGGTAACAATCGTATTAAGAACAAGTGGGGAACAAAAATTGTGACCTTGGTAATTTCAGGTCTGGAATTTCTTTCACAAGCTAGACATTGTCTCAAACTCTTTCCTTTCCGTTATGACTCTACCTGAGCCAAGCTCTTTCTGGCTCAGTATGTTTCCACTTTCCCTTTGGAAGTGCCCTGGGATCTTCTTTTTCTTTAAAGGCACTCGATACGTGTATGTTTTTAGTACATAAAATCTTTCTGAAATTTGTAAATTTTATTGGTAATATTTGTTTACAGCTTGCATTTCTCTGCTGAGGAGCTGTATCATTTCTCCCTGAAACATAATTTATTGAAGGTATTAATTAAAAGTTCTGTGCACAGTGTCCAGCATGAGCTTTCTTTTTTGTTTCTGAGAGATCAGAGGGGATGGTTTTTAAGACTGTTTTGAACATTATGACTGCTGTGGTCAGGCTAGACAAAAGCAAGCCATCACCACCTGTTGAACTTTGAATCTTAAACATATTGTACATGACACTTTGGGGAAGATTTTCTCCCATGAAACTAGTTTGTTGCATTCAAACAGATTTTATTTGTAGAGCATTGTACATGTGTGTTTGGAGCCCTGTATCTTCAGTAACATTGCCATTCTCTAAATCTAAGCCTTGAGTTACTCTAGTATTAATAGCTGTTTATTGCATGGGAGCAGGCTGACTGCAGGATATGCAACTGATCTGATTGTACCAATTGCAGAATAAGCCTTGGATTACCCATGACGAATTCCATGAAGCAAGTCACCAAGTAGTTTGAATTTACTTGATTTTTACCTGACAGCTGTAACTGTTATTTACAGAGTGATGAAAATGAACAGGAACAGCAGTCTGACACAGAAGATGGGACAAACAAAAAATGTCAGGTAATTACTTTCTCTAAGTACTCAATGTTGAAATGTTTCTCCTAGAATAGTGGCAGAAATTTATGCTCGAAAACTTAAGTTCATGCACTCCTGTGTGAGCTTGCATGTGCTTGAATTTCAGGCTCAGCTTTATTTGAGCCAAAATTGGTGGAAACACTTGAAAATGAATTACTTTTCAACTGAATGGATTTTGTTTGTTGTAATATTTGTGACATTTGCTATGTTCTGTTTATGAGAACATTGATGTTCCAAATTATGCTTGACGCAGATTTACGACAATGGGTTCTGCTGCATGTAATAATAAATCAGCATTGAACATGCACGTATTTGGACATTTGGTGCTACTTGGTAAAAGGACTTCTGAGGAATTCTTGGATCAAAATGTATTTTGAAGGAATGTTGTGTTTTCTGGAAATCTACGTGACGAATTTCAAGGCTCCTGATATTTTTTGTAATGTCTAATGTTTTAATTGGGCCGGCATTAAACCAATAGAGGGGGTCCTGATTCAACAAAAATGGTTTGTTCCTTTCACAAACTTAACGTGCTTAAGATGAATAAGTGTATTGTTTTCAGACAAGAACCAAGGTTGATCGGACAAAGTCTCTTAGATTTGGTTCAGACTTATTTGTACTTGCTCTTTTTTTTTCATATTATGTTAGAAACATTACTCCTTGCATGTTAAGATTTAGAGTGCTGCCTTCCATGTGGAGTTAAGAATTTCAATTGTCTTTTCCTGGTGTATTTTAAAAAAAGGTGTATGATTCCGTAACAGTTTACAGAAAGGCATTCTGTATCCCAGCAATCTTTAATAACAATGAAATTCTCCCTCTTTCTTTATTTTGTTGATAACTTCTCTTGTCATTAACAACTCAATCAGTAGAACTCATTTTCTCCCACTTTTACCTGTTATAATTTTGAACACTTCCATTGCACGTCCTTGTTACTTATTTCCATGAAAAGAGCTCTTCACCCCATTGCCTCATTAACTTCTCCAGTACATTCTTCATGCTCTTTTAATTGTTCCTAAAGAAAGATTCCCCCAAAACTTAACATGGCTGTCTAACTTCAACCTGCCTTATTTTTGTATAGGTGCATTCTTGTTTCTAATTCTGTACCTCGAATCCCCAAGGTCCCTTTAGTATTTAGGTTTTTGTCGACTTTTGTACTGTTAATATTTCTTGAAAATATTTACACGCCTGTGCTTTGAATCTTTCTGCTGCAATCCTTTTTCTTAATTTTCTCGAAGGGTATGTGGACTTGGTCAGAAATTAAGAAATTAATATCTTGTGCCTCGCTAATTGCCCTTGAAGATGGCGATGAGCCTCCGATAATCATTGAGACCATCCTGTTTGTGTAGAACCACGGCAGTGTTAGGGAAGGAGTTCCAAGATTTGGAGCCATTGACTGGAGGAATGGAAGTATGGTTCCACATCAGGCTGGTGTATGGCTTGTAGGGGAGACTTCAGGTGGTGGTGTTTGCATGCATGTGCTGCCCATGTCTGAGTTTGATAAATGTTGTGCATTTAAAAGATGCTATAGAAAACTTGAGTTGCAAAAGTGAATTTGTCTGTGCACAATTCAGCCATGTATATCCATAGTGGAAGAAAATGTTTCAGCTGGCAGGTGTTGATCTCGAGGGCTTTTTGATTCTGATGGTGCCAAGCTTCTTGAGTATTGGAGCTACACTGATCTAGGTATATGGACAGTTGGAAATGAATTACTAGATGTGAAATTCCCACCTTTGGCTTATTCTCATAGGCGAAGCATTTATGTCTGGTCCATTTCAGTATCTGCTAATTATAACCTCCAAAGATGATGATAGTGGGGAATTCAGCAGTGGTCATATTTTGAATGTCGTGGGGAGGTGGGTAATTTTTTTTGTTGGAGATGGTCATTGCCTTGCAGTTGTGCGACACTCATGTTTGCTAACACGGACTTCATCAAAATCTGAAGTTCCAAATGGAACTGGATACTGTATAGTCATCAGCAAATATCTCGATTTATCTAATGATGGAAGGAAGCTCAATGAAGTTGCTGAAGATGGTTGCCCTGAACAACTCTTGCAGCAATGTTCCAGGATTGCGATAAGTGGCCTCTTAATGACAACAAATGTTTCTTTATTCGGTATGACTCCAACCTGGAGAGAACTTCTTGCAATTCCCATTTGCTTAGAATTTATCTGGGCTCTTTGATGTGACTCTGAATCAAATTTAGAGTCTTAAAAGGAAATTGCCATCCTTTTTGGTCTAATTTAAAATCTGCTTCTGTCAATAATGCAGACTAAGCCTCCATCTGTCATATTGGTAGCTATATGGTACGTTTGAAATAATCTGTTGTATAATCAGCCTTTTAGACAATCATTAGTTGGGACTGCACTTTGTAAATTGCTAACACCTACATATTTGCTTGGCAAAAGTGAACCACTGTGCTGGGGGAATGAAGAAATGACAACTGATCAGGTTAATTGAGAAAATGCGTTGAGCAAGTGATGGACTTGCATTAAATTAATGTTTGAGAATAACTCACATCACTCTTTACCAGCAAAGGAAATATACTTTTAATGCTTGCAAATTGGTTGAAAATTGACTTGTATGCCATTGGCTTTATATTAGTGTAAGCCGATCTCTGTTACATATGGAAACTCTTTTTAGCAACAGAATGATTACTGTTCTGTGGTCACATCAACAGTTTCATGGTCTTTGTTTAGTAGGATATCATTTGGGAGAAGTTACTTTATATTTTTCAGAGTTTGTACAAATATTATGAAGGCAGGGTATGCAGCTGTTGGACCAATAGAGGATCATTAATAACCTCAGAATTTCCAAAAATCCTTCTCAGCTGAAGAAGCACTTTTGAAGCATAGCCATTGCAGCAATGTTTTAGTTCATCATTTGTAATCATAATTATGTTTGATCTTTTTAGTTTTGGTAGCATAGTTGTGCAATTTGATTGACATTTCCAAATTACTGTTTGATTTTGGTCATGACAAAGCTAGGGTGCGGATGTGGAAAGCAATTTCTCAGACTTGGATGGATGGAAAGCTGTCACTACTGGGCAGTGACTGAGTTTAATTTGAAAGCAAAACTGGAGTCGTTATTTGAAAAGGAAATGGAACCTAGATTGATTCGACATCAGCCTCCTGTGTTGTTTCTTTTCTGCATTCTTTGGTAGTCTTGAAAAGTTAGTTATGTTTAGACCCATTGGGATAGCAGCTGGGAGTTAGTCATTGCAGTTCCTGGCAAATGCTCAAGATTCTAAATCCTAAATCGAAGGCAAGGGTTTTAGTGATGGGATTTGAAACAAATATGTGACACACTTGAAAGGATCCAGTTTAAAATCCTTCAAGCCACAGTGAATCTCTGAATCTAGTTGACATTTACAGTCATAGTAAGCTTAGATGCTCCACCAACCATGCAGGTTGCAGTAGACGGGTCTGATTGAATGTAGGCCATCAGAAGAGCCTGTAAAGCTTTGCAATATTGAATTTGAAAGTTACAGTTCAGAAGGACCAAGCATGTAAGTAATAATTGCTGCTAAGGGTTAAATTATAAAAGTGGATTGTTATTTCATGACTGTTGCTTAATTGAAAATATCTCATGGCATAATATTTGACCTTTGCCAATTGGATTTATGGTTAGTAGCTTCAATGTGTAAATTAATCATCTTGTATTTGGATGAAATGTCAAATTATAACTGAATTCTTAACGCAAACTCCATTCTAGTGTTCCAGGCTTAACGTTGTAGTAAAAGGAGGAACATCTGTTCTTGATTAAAACATTGATTGCTACATGAAAATACTTAAAAGGAACATTGTGCTCATAAATGAATAACCTCAATTAATATTAGTGCAAGGAAGTGCTTATGGTTATTGCTATCATTGGGAGAGTGCTTTGTTTAATATGTGTGGCTTTAACTGGCACATATATAGTGGTAATTGTAAATTACCAACTTTGATACTGTTGGCCTTTGTTATTTTTATTCCATTTTCATACTTTTGAAAATTGGGTTCTCAATTGCTCATTACTGCATAATTGGGAGGCAGCTGTATTGATTTGTTTAAAATCAATAAGGGTAATATCCTGATAACAGAATATTTCATTAAGGGCACTAAATTGATCCCTAACCCTTGGTTTTAGCTCCATATATTTGGGTTTTATTGCCCGGTTTATGCCTGGAAATTTCAAAAGAATATTATCCCATATCAACCTGTTTCAACATGTTATGACACAACTGGACAAGTGGAACTTGAAGCAAGATCTTCTGGCCCAGAGGAAGGGCCACTACTACTGTGCCACAGAACCCCCTTGCTTGGGAGTTTGTTCCCATTTTTTATTTCTTCATGGGAAGTGGGCATTGTTGACTAAGCCAGCATTTATTGCATATCCTTAATAGCCCAGAGAAGGTCATAGTGAGCTGTCACCTTGAACCACTGCAGTCCTGGGGTGTAAGGATACCCACAGTGCTGTTTGGAAGAGAGTTCCAGGATTCTGACCCAGACATTGAAGGAACAACCAATATATTTCCAAAATATATTGCGAGTGGTTTGGAGAATTGTGGTGCAGGTTGTGGTGGTCCCATGCACCTGCTATCCGTATCCTCCTTGGTCATACAAGTTGCAGGTTTTGAAGATATTGTGAAGGGCTTTTGGTGACTTGTGTCCTGCCTTCTGACTTGCATTAGTTCACAGAAACTGTTAGCCTGTAAATATTGGTCATGATGAAGTCATTTGCTGAGCTCGGTGAGAAGAACGGGATTGTTTGTTTTCAGTTTTGAATTCTTGACTGTAGAATTAAAATTGGAATTAGCTTTATTGTTGCATGTACTCAAATGAGTGCAGTGAAAAGTTTAGAAATCATCACTGTGGTGATATCTCAGGTACAACAGTACCTAGCTACAGATTCTTAGGGGGGGAAAAGAATTGGAAAATAAAGAAATAAAAAGTTATGAATAACAGTCCTTTCAACCCAGTCCATGCCGCCCCTAGCAAACAGTCTGTACCAAGCCTTGTCTCCAGACTGCGCCAGGTTTCACGTCGAGGCTTTCG